AATAATTGACCGGAGCCATAGTAACTCGTACCACGCCGTTGCCGAACCAACACCGAGTCTGAAGATAACGCAGCGGCGTGTACCACCCGAAAACCAACCCAATCCGAACCTGATGCATGCCATTGCCCGGCCAATACTGAACATGAAATATGCCAAATGTCGTAGAACGTCCCAATCCCGTGTTAATATCGAACCTGAAATAACCAATCGGAGTCGTTGTGACCCATATTCCGCCGACGCCGGACCAATATCGAACCAACACCGAACCTGGGAACATGTCAAATATCGTACAATACCGTGGCCCAGTGACAACTCCAAACCTCTCTCGAACCAGACGTCCTAACCGAGGCAGCGGCCATACCGATGCTTTGAAGCCAGGTGGGATAATCAAAGCAATATGTCGATAACACCACGCCGTCCATCCGTGCCGTACTCATAGCGCACATGTTGTGGTGAGGCTAGAAATCGGGATAATCAGGTAAGTTCATTTAAGCAATCTCAATCATCGTCAAAATAGTTAAAATCGCTAGAAGTAAAGTAAATAAACAATCCGGGGCAAATCCGATCGCGAACAAATCGAACAAATTTACGTCAATCATCTAATAATCATGGTTTTCTTCCTTATCATCTTTTTTTATTTATTTTTCTTATTTCCTAATTCTTTTATCGAAAACAATAGAAATAGAGGCAATCTTGCCAAAAATAAATTCCGATGGCATTCAATGAAACGTCGAAAATTCTTTGTGTTTTTTTTGTTTTTTTTTTTTTTGAATCTTTTTCATACATTTAATTATATTATAAAAAATGTCGATAATTTAGGGCGACCATATTAAAATTCAAATACCGGAGAATTTGAATAAATTGGAAAATATCCCATTTTTCTCTCCTCTTTTGTTGTCTTTAATTTTTTCTCCCATTTTTAATTTTAATATTAAATTTAGTTAAATGTGGCCCCCCCCTCCTAGCATCCGTTGGACCCTGTAAAAGAGCCTCGTCAAGGCCCACTCTCAATTCACTGTCCCGCAGCCGGTCGTTCCGGGAACGGCCCGGAATCGGTGGAAAAAAGGTGGGCCTCAGCGCGGCGGAAAAGGTAGTCCCTCTCGTCTATTTCTACGGCTGGCCCTGACGGTTGACGCACCCAAAATTAGGGATGACCTGACTACCCCTAATTTCTCCCAACCGGTCGGATGAAACCGCCGACCGATTCCTTCTTAGACAAGTTTTCTATAGGTCAATCTCCCGGTATTAGGGCGACCGACTGGTCCTCGGTCGCCCCACAAACAAGCCCGGACCTCCTCTCGACGCCCCCGTCGAGCCCGCTCCGCCAAGATTAGACAAAACGCACCAGGTCTAAATGGACCACTCGTGCTCTGCACAAGTGCCTCCTCTTGTTTATGTGCCGTCTGGTTTTCTCAGGAACTCGGGGGCTGAGGGGGTGATCCTTCCCTCTCTTATGTCGCCGTCGTTTGGGCTTCGTCACAACAACATTCCTCCGCTTCCTCGTTCTTTGGGAATACTGTGCGTCAACTGCGCCACCCTTCCTAATGCGGACCCTGCGCTTTGGTCTTTGCAGAAGAAAGACCCATTTCTTTCTCTTGCCCACGGCTAAGTCTTTCACTTTCCTGGTCTCCACCCTCTTCCTCTTCTTCGAACTCTCACCTACCTCGAACCGCCTTGACGGTCCTCCGTCCGTTATCTTAGCTTTACCCTTTCCTTTAGGATCTGATGGTCTCGGAGCAGGAGTAGGAGTCTCCCTTGATCTAAACAACTTTAGTCTAGCTCCCGCCACTGGATCCTTCCACTTTGACCCATCTAGCTCAGCAATCATATAGGCTCCCCAGCTTAATGCACCAACCACACAATAGGGCCCCATCCATCGATTAGCCAGTTTCCCAGTCCATGTCCTTTCGAAAGCGACGTCGTAGAGGAGCACCATGTTGCCAACCTTGATCTTTTCCTTTCTGATTCTGACGTCTTTGTCCCATCTCACTTTGTTCTTTTCTCTTTCTACTGCTAGTCGATCGGTCGTGGTCATGAGATTGTTTTCCAGTCCGTAAGCTATCTGCCTAGTCCGGGCTGCCAGTAATTCCTCTCGTGTCATGTTATCTGCCCAGTTAACAGTGGTCCAACTGTGAACATGAAACTCTACAGGCAGAGGACAGTGCCTTCCAAACCATAGAGTGTAAGGAGGGTAGCCCGTACTAGCTCGGACAGTGACATTGTCCACCCATATCGCGTACCTTAAATACTTCGGCCAGTCGCTATCCTTTCCTCTACACCACTTGGATAAGGACGCAATCAATGACTGGTGGCCTCGCTCTACAGGTGCATTTGACTGAGGGTGATAGGCGGTAGCAATAGATACTCTGGCTCCAGCTCTCTTGAATACGCTCTGTACCTCGTTTGCTAGAAACTCTGGTCCTCTATCCATCACAATCTTACTAACACATCCGTATCTAGACAGATACTCCAGGATTAAGTTCTTAACTTCTCTTGCTGCTTTCGTCCTGATAAGCCTACCATCGACGAAACCAGTGAAATCATCCCTGATGTTGACTACATCGTTCATATTCCCTACACCCTTTGGCATTTTAACCAGATCAATATGCACTTTCTCCCCTAGTCTAGTGGGATAAGAGGGGTGAAGTGGTTCCTTATACCTAATAAGGAACCTCTTCTGGCATTCCTCACAAGTCTCGCAGTACTTTTCAACATCCTTGTATTGTCCTTCCCACCAGTATAGTCGGCGAACCTTCTCATACGTACCTTTCACTCCTCTATATCCCCCAACCACCCCGTCATGTAACTCTGCTACTATGGACTGTTTCTCCTCTGGATCGCAGACCACCCGAAGAGGCATCCCAGCTCCCACAGGTCGTCGGAACAGATGCCCAGCTCTAAGGCAATATTGTGCTGCCTGTCTCATGATCTCCGATTCGGAACTCTCCACGCCCGATAGGTGCAATCCTATAGTGCGGTATTTACCTTCATAAAGATTTACTAGGAAATGATCCGTTCGTCTAGGCTCCGTTATAGTTAGTGCAGCAACCGATATTCGTCGCTCTGCCTCGATGAGAATTCGTGAAAGTACATCGGCTACAGCGTTCTTCGCCCCGGAAATCCTCTCTACAGTATAATCATAAAGTCGAATCCTGATCAGCCATCGCGCGATCTTAGGATCCGTCAAACTGAAAACCTTCTGTAGGACTGATGCTACAGCCGTAGGGTCTCCCCTAAGAACAAATCGTCTCCCGTATATGTAATGCCTGAAGGTATCTAAGCACGGTAGAATAGTCAATACTTCTGTCTTAAACTGATTGTAATTACGTTCTGCAGTGTTGAGTGTTCGGCTCTCGAACCTCAATGGCCTTTCCTTGCCGTCAGCATCCTTTTGAGAGAGCAATCCCCCAACCGAACACGGTCCAGCATCCGTAGATACTATGAACGGTTTGTTTGTCTCGTCCTCAAAGAATGGCACACCTAGAATTCGGTCGTCTTCCTTAAACTCTTCCTTGAGGGATTGCACTTCAAGCTCTTGAGAGGAATCCCAATAGAAATTCTCAGTCTTCCTAAGAAGTGTGCGCAGAGGCTCTGCCTTCTCCGCATATCCGCGTATGAAGATCCACCAATAACCAACAACACCTAAAAAATTGCGAACTTCAGTTGCACTGTGCAATGGAGTCGGCCAATTCAACAACTTCTCCAGCTTCCCAGGGTCGGGGCGTCGGCCTTTCGCATCGCATATAAACCCTAGAATTTTAATCGTCGATACGACCGATCGACTCTTTGTCCCGCTAACCGTCAGGTTAGCTTCATCTAGCTGTTCCAAAACAGCGTAAATGTCCGTCAGGTGTTGCTTTACGAACCTCCTGACACCAGGAGCGACTTTCGTCTCATCTTTCAACACCGGTCCTTTTATCGGAAAGTCGTTCAGAAAAACTTCTACTTTATCTGGGATAAAGTCTTTCAGAACCGCTACCATGGCTCTCTGAAAGACCGCTACCCCATTGGTCCATCCCATCAGAACGACCATCATCTACACTAATCCGAGCGGCGTGTGCATGGCTGTGAGATGCCTATCTCTCGGATCTAGTGGTATCTCGTCATATCCTGAAAATAAATCACAGACAGAATAAATGGATCTGCCTGCCGCTCCCTCTGCTAGTAGATCAGCGTGAGGTACGGAGCCAACATCTCGAATTGTTACCGCATTTACCTTTTGAAGGTCTTGAATCCACCGAATCTTTCCGTTAGGCTTCCTTAAGAAGAACCATCTATTCGCGTACGCGCTATCACATGGTTCAGCTACGTGAGATGCCATCTTCTCTTTGAGAAAGGAGATCACCTCTTCCTTCTCTTTTTGAGCAAACTTCCACCCTGCGTCATTCCACGGCGTATGCGAAATCGTGTAGATTCTTGCCGGGTTAGCACATCTAGGATCAATCCTTCCTCTCTCCGCATCACTGAATGCTATGGCTTTATCACAAGACTTAAGGACTTCCAACACTCGCTCTTTCTCCGGCTGAGTTAAATTCCCATCGTCTATGTCCATCTCCGCTATCCTCTTTTCTGTCAGCCGTTGCGGCTCCTTCCTCTTCTTTTCTTTAATCTCTCTAGCGATCTCTTCTTCAGATACTCCATCCAACGCGAATCGCTCACGTACTACATCCGCCGGCTTAACCTTCTGAGCTACTGTCTTGTGTCTCTTTGGTCGCCCCCCGTAGGGAACTGTGTCCTTAAAAAAGACACATATATCATCCCTTCGAATTCCTCATTTTCCGCCTTAGGATAGGCGTTTCTTCCTACATGTACGCGAGTCCCTAAATCCTCGACTTCGACTATACGACCTTATTCTTCTGTAAGTAGGTATCCATACTTCTTTTCGCGAAAACTCAGGGACCGACTTGCAAGGGGAACTGGTACGCGGCCCCTTTCAGTGAAAACCGCTTTGTTCCTCGGGTCACGAGGCTCTACCGTCTCCATCATAATCCGCCCACCGTTTGGGCGCTTGATGGAAAGCATCTGGCTTCCAGCCGGTCGTTCTATAGTAACGGCGTGGACGTGACTCAGCCAGGTCCGCCCCAATAATAACTCTGCGCTGCAATCTCGAACCGCGAAGACAGGCATCGTCACTTTCAGCCCTTCGACCTCAATTGCAGCCTTGTGGCAAACCCCGGTGACCTTTTGCTTTCTTCCATCGGCGGTCTCTATCTCAAATTTGAATGACTTATCAAGATCTAATCCCAATCGGATAGCCAGACCCTCATCGATGATAACAGCCTCGCTGTCGTTATCAATTACTGCATGAAGAACTATTTCATTATTGAGGGTAGTCTGTATTGTCCCGCTGCCCAGGATATAAAACTTGTCAGGGGGCACCCCTTCTATCCCATCTGAGAACACCGTCGCAGCACGATCCGCCTTGGTGACCACACTTGATACAACAACAGTGGGTATCTCCTCCTGTTTAGTCGCCATTTGGACCTCGTCGCTTAGGGGAATACGTGTCTTACGCGTAATTATCTGCAATTCATCCCGTGCTGGCCTCGAGGCCGCTAAATACTCTAGGATTGTGCACTACATGGGCTGCCTGAGAGCGTGTCTAAGAGGTTCGACCGTGTCTATGTCATCCAGAGTGCTCTTCATCGTGAACTTTCTCACCCCACGTTTGCGTGGGGAAAGTATAACTTTTTCTCCTTCAATCCTCTGCCCATCCTTCTCTGCCATTACGTAATCAGTGTCAGCCTTCTTGGAGGAGGAAGCCCTAGCGGACTTAGTCGCTGCCACCCGTATGGGCGTCATAGGGCTCTCCTCATCAGAAGATAGACTCAGTCTTATGCTTTGGGTTCTCGCAACCCCTTTACCCTTGTTCGGTACTACTCGCCTAGCTTCCACGTTCTCCTTCATTGAAGGAAACATCGATACATCGCCGAGGTTATCCGCCCACTTGACGTACTTGCGATCATCAAGTACGACAAGCCCCTCATCTATCGCCCGTTTGAGGTCAGGGCAGTCTCTCTTGAGGTGATCATCTCCCCTGCAATAGATACAGGAGTTCCTAGGGGTAGGGGGTCGTTCCTCCGTGGACCTAATCGCCGTTCGTCTCGCATCCTGGTTAGATGGCCCAGGAGATCTAGGGTAGTTTGGGGACTTGGGATACCCTGGCGACGCAGGATATCCTCCTCTCTCATACTGCCCTCATGGCTCTTCTCTACGATCACCTCTTTCTACCCGCTCGTAACCGCTTCGATATCCATCTCGGCGGTCCCTACCTGATTCTCACCGACCGCGGGAGTCCTCTCTATCCCTCGAGTTAAAGTTGCCCTGGCTCCGGTACCCTTCGGCATCCCCACCGTATCTGGGACTGCGTGTGTACTGGTCTCTAGGACTGCGCAGATACTGGTCGGCTCTGCCCTCCCGACTGTAAGAATCTCCTGCTCTATATCCATCACACCGGCGGTCTCTGTCTATATTATCATACCTGCGCCTCCTCTCTTCGTCCTCTCTACGTCTTCGATCGTCTTCTTTTCTGCGCCTTCGATCCTCTTCATCCCTACGTCTACGATCATCCTCGTCTCTACGTCGGCGCTCATCCTCATCTCTTTCCCTCGCGTGATAGTCGGCCAGTGTGCGGGGATTACGGTCTTCGACGCTTCTCCATGGGTCAGTATTGCGGCGATCCCATCGTAAGGAATAAGGTGACCCGGGTTTATCCCGGTATGTAGTTCCGACCTTCGTTTCAAAATTTGCCAATTGCCTTGCCATTGCCTTCATCTTCTCTTGCATYTYTTCTATGATAGCATCATYATCCTTTGACCGTWGGGGCCCATCTCTATCCATCATATAACGTCRCTCTGCCCAAGGTTTGTCGTTGAAATYTGGGCACCTGTCGGTCYCGTATTCCTGATAGAGGGAAAAATCCCGGCGCTGCATGCCTTTCCAGAGTAAGTCCTTGTAGTCATCTGCCTCAGCCTTCATGGCCAACTTGAGCAAYGCWGTGAATTCTAGCTTATCGTGAGGCGTCTCTCTCAGCACTGCCTTTTGYTTYCCTWTCRGTAGCTKCCCAAGGAARATCGTGCAKCTTTCGACCTCTGACAACTTCCTTTTTGCCATAAGGGCATCAGATACCTTCTGGAACCGCTTTCCRAAGGCCCGGACACTTTCGCCCTCTCCTTGGGTTAGCTKCTCCAAGTCCCGGATAKAATACTTAACATCTTCTAGTTTGTAGAGTTCGTACAGATTGACTTTATAAGTAGCCCATCGCCTATCTTTGGGTCGAGCCTCTTTAATCTCTTGGCTCAAGCTTGGGTCCACATTAAACAAGAAGTTGTCTATAATCTCATCCTCTGTCCACTGACTTCGGTATGCGTGCAACTCCCACTTTTCGATATATTCGGTGATACCACACCCTTTGAAAACAGGTGGTCTGGTATCCAACTCTGAGGGCTGATGGGAGATGATGAGCCTATCTCTCGTCTTGTATGGCAGGGAGTGTGTTTCCCCTGTCTCTGGGTCAAATACTCGTCTGGATATCGCCGGTTTCTCCCTATCTCTCCAAAGCTGCTCCCTAATGAATAGGTCCCTCCAGTCTTCCGTTCCTAGGTAGCCTCTATCCTCCCTACGCTCATACATAGATGGGCGTTGAATAAACAATTCGTGCCGAAAACTCGGAGGCTCGGTCTGTATGTCCGGTCGCTCTATCGGCGCGGCCCTGCTGGGCTCGGTAACGGGAGGAGGTGCCATCACCTCAGGCTCGCCGTCGCCCGACTACTCTACACACCTCAGAGGGGCGTTCTGTCGAAGACGCTCCTTGAGATCTTGCAGGGCCCGATCCGGCGATGCTCGATATACAGCTTGCTCCTCGTCCGGATGCGGTCCCATCGTGTCCGATTTCATATACTTCCCCCTCTTGCGATTTAGCAGGTCAGCACCAACACCCCGGATCTACGAAAGAATCCGCAGTCCGAACCTATGAAAGCATCTGCAGCCCGGACCTATGAAAGCATTCGCAACTCGGACCTATGAAAGTATCCGCAGCCCGGACCTATGAAAGTATCCGCAACTCGGACCTATGAAGGTATCCGCAGCTCGGACCTATGAAAGTATCCGCAACCCGGACCTATGATAAAATAAAAATAAAAAAATAAAAATAAAAAAATAAAAATAAAAAAATAAAAATAAAAATCACTTGTCTACGACCGCTCTCAGGATCGTAACGAGTCTCCCAGCTTTGTCTCGTATCTCGTGCTCACCCTTGATTCCTATAATCCATGAGTCAAAATAAAGTTCTCCGTCCTGCTCTTCTATGCAATGAACGCCTCTCCTTATCTCTATAAGTCCGGACTCTGGTATCCTTACTCTCCTACAAATCCCTGTCGCGATCCTCCTCAACTCCTCCGGTGCACAAAAAAGCAAATTCCCTCGTAGGTCGACCGATATCCTTCGCGCTAAATCACTCAACCCGTGATGTGCGATTCGAGCTCCTGCGAGTGGGTAATCACCCCCTACGACCATCGAACTTAAAGTATCGAAGTGTTAGGCCAACCATTGCCTCATTGCTTCTCCCTCGTACCACCTGACGCGGTACATGAGGTCTGGGTAACCCCTGAAAGAGCGTAATTAGGGTGTTTCAGATTACCTCCTTACCTGGCGCTTGGAGCCTATCCCGCTCATTTTCAATGACTTCTTCCGCATGCTCCCAACATCGACTGTAAATCAAATCGCCTTTGCGCTCAACTGGGAGGTAATTCCTAACATCATACACCTCCACGACAAAGAACCGAACGGTGATAATGTAAAAGCGTATCTGCTCCCATCCGCTAACTCGTATGTCACTACTTCGTACGGAACCACTTCTCTTTGCCCCAAAGAGCTCAACTAGTAGCAGACTTTCGCCAACTTCGTGTCCGAAGGTCTGTTGCCCGCAAGAAACCTCTCTCTCCTAGCTTCTAGCTCGCTCTCAGGGATGGTCGTATCTTTACTCATCCGAGGATCCTATTAATCCTTAACGCTCTTTTTGAGCTTGCCGTTAGTTTTGACTGCCTGAGCGAATCCAACTATAGCCTCCCATTTGTTTCGCTCTAGCCCTCGATATGGAACAGGCGGCCTAGCTAAACCGTAAAAAATAGTGATGTCATCGCAGACCTCCACAAT